ATGCGAGAGAAACTCCCTAATGCGGGAACACAAGAATTTTAGCCTTTTCAGTCCATTTACATGCACAGAAACGTATAGAACACACTACAGAAGAGGGAAAACCCCAAAAAGCATAATAGGGCCCCTTTAAATAAGATATAGCATCACACACACAGATTTACTTTGGTGACACTTCTTTTGAAAATTTAGATTTTTTTCACATTCCTTACGTGTGAGTTTTTTTGTGGAGCTAGCAGCAAGTGTTTATAAGTGGAAATGGTTTATTAAGCACTCGAGCAAAGGTTCCAAATACATTATGATGGTTTGAAAAGGGCCAGTTCACCCAATTACAGAACACTCACTTTTCCTAAGTGGCATCTGCTCATGCACAATGTTTGATGTGCGAAGGTTTTGATCTGCAAAATTCTGAAACCAATACAACTGAAGCTAATATTTTGTTGTGCTGCTCAAAGCACTAAAAGTTTAATTTGACTACAGATTGCTGATTTCGTTATTTAAAGCCTAACAAACAAACAAACAACTCTAACCAACACAAAGTATTTTACCCTATTGTGAGAGCAGTGTTTCTCAAACTTTTTCATACCAAGGACCACTTAACCAATACAAAAACAATCGCGGACCACCTAACTCCACAAATATCCCAAAACACATTGGTTTTTACAAATCGCCTGAAAATGGTGCAAACAAGTGGCCACATGTGTGATGAAGGTGTTTATCTGGGCTATATCATGCAATCAAAAGTGAAACTTAAGCTCGCTCCATTGCGGAGATATTCCTACGACAGTGCGGAAAACTTAAATTTATTTATTTATTTCAAATGTGACATTTTACCATTATACTCACGGACCACTAGGGGGCGTTCACGGACCACCAGTGGTCCGCGGACCACACTTTGAGAAGCACTGTGTTAGAGGACACACAGCACTCATAATTGTGGAGGCCAGACCTTTGATCTTCCCTGCTGGGGAACAATATAACTGCTCAGACACACTCCCACTACTTCCTTTCTAAACTTCAAAGAGCTTGCCAAGGCAGAAGGTACAAATATACTACAGGAACATAATGATCTGAAACAGATTGGCTGGAAGGAATATTTTGAGAGAAGAAATAAATAGAAACAAAACCCCCCAAAAAAATAATCTGTGTGTCTCTTTCACCCCTACCTGATCTCCTCAGGAAACTGTGCATTGGTGACCAGGAAGCTGGAGATGTGATGGGTGTGGAGGAGGCGGATGAAGGAGTTGATTTCGGGGTACATGATTGGCTCACCCACCAGGGAGAGGGCACAGTGTTTGACTGCCAAGCCCTCCTCGTAGCGCTCAGGCTTCACTCCTGGGACACCTGGAGGGGGGGAAGGAACAGATGATTTTTTTCATGCTAATCCACCTTCAACTCAATCAATATCTCCCACCAATAAAAGCATCACAACAAGTAAGCCTCACACGAGGCACATGTTTAGGACGCTGGTAGCTCCGTCCTTTAGGACTTGCCTTAGGAACTTTAAGGTTGCTGTAGGAGGCACATGTAAGTGTTTTTTTTATTTAGTATGTGGTTTTTCACTCATTATTGGTGGTGGGCAGTTGGTTCTGGAGCTTGGGTGGTGATAGTAGTGCGTAACGCGTATACTGTAGCTGACTGCTGACTGAGTTTAAAATACCATCTACAACAGGGATCACCAACTACATTTGTCCAAGGGCCAAAATGTATCCAATAGACACTTTCGCGGGCCAGCGAATGGGCCAAAATACCAGCAAACGTATTCAGATTACTTTTAGACTACTTTTGGAATAGTTTATTTTTCCATAACAGATGGGTATGTTTTGGTGCACAGGAGACACTTGTATTACTGTTTTAATGGCTTATCAAGAACTCAAACACAACATCTTGGTGTCATTCTGGACAGCTCCCTCTCACCTGCACCCCACATAAAACACATCGGACTGCATTCTTTGTACTGTCTTAAAACCTTTCCTTGGAATATGTTATGAATTGTAAGGTGTCCTTGGGGGCTTTGAAAGGCGCCCCTAAATAGAATGAATTATCATTATTATTTATTATCTGAAACGATGTAATCACTTTTAAAACTTTTTTTGTGAGGAAACTTTTCCACCAATAATTCCAATAAGTATTCCAAAATGTATTCACTTCAGGTTTACGAAAGTAACTGTAATCAGATTGCTCGTTTTTCAAATGTAACGCCAGCTGAATACAGTTAGCCTACTTGATTTTTGTATTCTGATTACAACGCCATTACATGTATTACAACCCAACCCTGCTTCTAGGCTACTGTCCCGCAGCTCTTGCCTCTCTGTTGGACTCTTCACAACGAAGGATCACTTCTTCTTCAAGGCAGGGAAGGTTTTGCAGTACGCAGTCTACTGTCCCGCAGCTGCTGCCTCTCTGTTGGACTCCGGTACTGCACCTTACTCACGAGACGTTGTAAAAAAAAAATGGGTGGGGGGCGAACGCAGTAACCACTCCGCCAAATGCCACATTAACCCCTGTCGTGCGCACCGGATGAGAAAGTCTGGCGGGCCGGATGTGGCCCCGCGGGCCGCTAGTTGGTGGTCACTGGTCTACAAGCTGATGCTTGACCACCAACTAGCGGCCCGCGGGGCCACATCCGGCCCGCCAGACTTTCTCATCCGGTGCGCACGACAGGGGTTAATGTNGTGAAGGTGCAAGTGCCCGCCCGTCGGGACTGCACTCCTCTCTGGACATGCGAATGAACACAACACATCGTATACCCACGATCGATCGCGACGCGATCTGACCTATATCAACCTCGACAAACGCTTTAATTCTCTGTCTCCTCGCCGTACCAAGCCCGGCCTGTTCACGTGGCTCGTGAACTGCAATCCAGATTCATCGGTCTGTCACCCCTGTAACATGCCTTCTTCAGTCGTGCCTATCACGCCGCCGTTTACTAACGTCGCAGGTGCGTCGAGGGAAAGCCTCGACTATACGGCACCAACGGGTATCGAGTTTTGACGAGGTGGTGTGTGTTGTGTGTGGTGTGTGGTGTGTGTGTCGCTGTGTGTTGCGTGTGTTGCTGTGTGCATTGGTGGTGTTGTGTGGTTGGTGTGTGTGTGTGTGTGTGTGTGTTGTGTTGTGGGTGTGGTGTGTGTGTGTGTGTGTGTGTGTCTGTCTGTCTGTCTGTCTGTCTGTCCTGTGGTGAACACATATCATACCTCTCCACAGGTCCAACTTAACTCCCGCCTATAACATTCTACACTCTCAACAACAACAAATTGATAAGCTACTCTTATACACAGTTAACAAGTTTTACTATTATTTGTAAACTATTACGTATAAACAGGGTGCCAGTATACAATTCTATAATTTTTGAACTTTTTAATAAGGACGATTATGTCACATCTTGTCTCATTTTTCACACCGCTAACTTACACCATAAATTCACGCCTATTGATCACAGAGCG